GGCTAGACTGTCTAAACTGGACCACGGTTGATTTAAAAAAAGGCCGTCAGTATAAATGCAAGTGGAACAAAACAAAATGTGAGGCAAGTGTGAGACGCAGAAGGGGCTGTATCCATCATTTTAAAGCTGCTTTTGTGTTAAAGTCAATGTGTATTTGTAATCATGTCATTCTCCTGCCATGCTGTGATGCCAGTGCCTTAAAGCCAGTTACCCAGAACAACAGTGGCTGATCTGCAAACTGCCACAGAGCAGGGTTAATATAAAACACTACACATTGAGCTTCTAGTTAATGAAGTATCCGTGCAGTACAGTTTGAGTGCGTGATCAGGAAAAGTCCGTGCTGTGAGTGCTAGCAGTGCTGCGAGGCGATCCTCTGATTTACAAATGCAGCACCTGATGCACTCGAGTCACACCACCTATTCACTCATTCACTTATTTACAATTGACTGCAGGGGTGTTGAGCTGAACCAGTAAAAGGGCCATATTAAAACAATTCATCGTTTAAATGTCCCCAGGCGCTCAGTCTTTCAGACCTACCTATTTGCTTGAACTAGACACCTGACGTCCTTTATTTGCTGCTAGTTCATTAAGACTTGGGCTCAGTTTCTGAGCTGCTGAGCTGACGTGAGGTGTTTATACTGGTTGAATTGCAGCTGCGATGCATTTTGGTGATATGATTGTGGAATTGTGTAGAATTGTGTAGAACTGAGGTGTTGTTGGAGTAGGAGAGTCGGAGCACATTATGTTGTAGTGCATTCTGGGGAGTGTAGTGCATTGTGAAAAGGGCTAATATTAATAGAAAATTAGAATATTTTTGCGGGCCGGAGAGGATTGTGTGACGGGCCTGATCTGGGCCTTGTGTTTGACACATGAGGTTTACTGTGTATTGGGATCATTTGTTGACTGCACAAATGGCTGTTTACTGTATGAATCAATGATGTTTCCTTTTTTGGTTTTAATTGGCATCAGTTTATCGTCTGTCGATGTTGTTGGGTATTGAGGTATTTTGCTGATGTATTTTTTGTGATATTAGTGCGGATGATGGTGATTATAGCAGTAGTAAACTGTTGTTTGCTGTAGTGCAGAGCTGAGCTGCTGGACTGGTTAACAGTGCGGCGCTGAGTTGTGTGCTCTCTGCAGCGTGACACCAGGTGATAAATCGACTGTTCATACCAGCGCAGGCAGAGCAGATAGCAGTGCTATTATTACCAGGGCCTGTCTTTTCTCTCTCCTCACGCTCGCTTGCTCCCTCTCTCTCTCTCCATCTCTTGCTCTCTCAGTCCTACACCCCTCCCTCATCCATCTCTCTCTCTCTCTCTCTCTCTCCCTCTCTCTCTCTCTCTCTCTCTCTCTCTCCCTCTCTCTCTCTCTCTCCCTCTCCCCCTCCCCCTCCCCCTCTCGGTCTCTGCTGCCATGTAGGGAAGTGGTGCCCGTTCACCATCAACAAGGAATGCACACTTGACAGAACAGAGATTTCCCCAAGCCTGTCTCTCTCACTCTCTCTCACTCTCTCTCACTCTCTCTCACTCTCTCTCTCTCTCTCTCTCTCTCTCTCTCTCTCTCTCTCTCTCTCTCTCTCTCTCTCTCTCTCTGTGTTTCTCTGTTTCTCTCATGCTATCTTCTCTTCTGCTGTCTTCATGCTGTCTTCTCTTACTCTGTCTGTCTCTCTGTCTACGCTCTTCCTCTGTTTCCCTATCCCTTTTCTGTTCCTTTCTTTCTCTTTCTCTCCTTTCATGCTCTTTTTTCCTCTTGGTCTACCTTTTTCACCTCTTTCTGTTTACTTACTTGCTCTCTGCTTTTTTTCCTTCCCTCTTCTTTTCCTCTTTCTTTTTATCCTGACTCTTTTTCTGCTTCTGTATCTTTCTCTCCCTCCCTCTCTCTTTCTTTCATCTTATTTATTTATCTCTCACTTTGTCATCTTTCTCTTTTACCCTCTGTCTCGTTCTTTCTCTCCGTACTCTCTCCCTTTCTCTCTTTATCCTCTCCTAGTTCTATCCCTTTTCCACTCTATCTACCTTCTTCACATTATCCTCCCTTTCTGATTTTCATTCTGTCTTACTCTTTCTTCATTTCCTCTGTTACTGTTTCTATCTCTCCTCTCTATCTTTCTGTCTCTCTTTATCTACACTCTTTATCTGTTTCTCTATCCTTTCTCTATTCCTTTTTTTGCTCTGTCTCTCACCATTTCTCCATCCTCTCTTATTTATCTGTTTGTGTCTCCTCTCTTTTTTTCTCTCAGTCTACCTTATTCACCTCTTTCTGTTTATTCTCTCGCTCTCTGCTTCTTTCCGTTCCTCTCTTTTCTTCTTTCTCTTGATCCTGTTTCTTTTTTTGCTTCAGTACTCTTTTTCCTCTCTCCCCCTGCTCTTCATCTTTCTTTTCATCTTCTCTTATTTATCTATTTCGCTCCCACTTTTTCATCTTTGTCTCTCTCTTTTTCTCTCTGTACTCTCTCCCTTTTTTTTTTCTCTACCTTCATATTATACTCTCGCTCTCTCTGAGCTGTATAGAAGCAGTGGATGAATTTCAGCTGTCTGTATTCGTTTATTTATGGAGTGGTGCAATATAAAAGCGAGCGGCTCTTTCAGACTGAGTTTATAGTCTGATTTAGTGGTCGAGATGATGTGCAGTTTAGAGCTGGAGCTGCGTGACTTTGGATCCACTGGGGGAAAAAAATTGTCAGATTTAAATCTGTGATGTTATTGAAATCCAATTCTCTCTCTTTCAGATGCGACTGTGGCCATTTCAGCCTCATCTTCAGTAAATACTCAGTCTTATGTCTGTATTGATGAATAACTGTGTGCTGTAATGAATGCGTCCTCTGCCCGGCAGTGAGTGGACTGTAATCAGCGGGGCCGTAAACCTTCAGTCACTTTATTTGAATTCCTGCTCGTCCAGATTTGCTCATTATCTTGTAACAATACCACATTTGCATCAAACCCTGAATCAGATTGAAGTGATAAAAACCTGAAGGACATAACGGGATGTGTTTGTGATAATAAAAGGCATGATGACAGCAGCACAGCATGAGCATCAGATATTCTGCTTTTTAAATGTATGCATTTATGGACATTTTTTAACCCTTATTTGCCCACATTCCTTATTTACAGACTGAATTGAAGCACGGTTTACAGAGCTGAATCTGGCTCCATGCTCCCAGGGAGCGAGCCCAGCACAGCTCAACAGCTAAATATAATTTTTAATGTCATTATTTATTGTATCCACTCTTTGCCTTTATTACAGCTTCCGTTCTTTTCAGGAGCCTCGCGTTCAGCTTTTGAAGGAAATATTTCATCACATGTCCAAAGTTCAGTCTTAGAAGTTGGTTGCATTTTCTGCTTCTCAAAATAATCCCAAACACATTGAGTGATATTGCTTCTCACCAAATGAATGGAGGTCACATGTTTTCCACAGTACTGCCATTTACAATCACAATATGTATAATTGCCCTGTGGTGTTTTCTACACATTGTGCAGCAGTAAGTGGAAGGTAGCTGCCTTTCACATTATATGAACTTATTATGACTGATGAACCTATAGAAACTGTCCAATATTACTTGGAATAAATCCAGTTACAATAAACAGCATTAAAAGTTACAGATATTGTTGACTCCTCCTGTAAAGTTGTCATTTTGTCATGGTTTTGTTTAGACAGCGACGATATTGAACTGCTGTCTTAATTCCTCATCTGAACACATGCTTTACATTGTGATAATAAGCTGTATGTGAGGGATGTTTATCTGGGTACATTTTGGCTATTTTGATCATCAAATATTGCAGTATTTATTGTAAAATACTAAATTGCGATGTGACTCTACCCCACCACAAGTATTCTACAGCTGTAGTATGTGTGTCTGTGAGTCCTAGTAATAATGTTGTTCTGTTCTCTGTTGTATGTGTTACTGGCTGCAGGTGTTGTATGTCAGGTATAGCGTGCATGCGTGCGCGTGTGTGTGTGTGTGTGTGTGTGTGTGTGTGTGTATACATGGGACCAGGTGTTTTATGTTGGGGTCGTGTGTGTGTGTGCGTGTGCGTGTGTGTGTGGTTTCTCCTTTTCTTCAGTGCTGTGTGGAAGAGTCAGTGTTGGAGCCCCATGCTCTTAATTATGCATGAGGTCTTCATGAATATTTAAAAGGTGCCTGAAATCCTCTTGTCACTACAGAGATATGGAGTGAGGAAGGAGCAGGGAGAGATAGAGATGCAGGGAAGCAGAGTGAGTGACGGAGGAGAGGGAGGGGGGGGGGGAAACGCAATGTCTCTGGCTTTTAGTGACTTCTGCTCTCAGACGCATTTCTACAGTCTCTCATTAGAGATTAGTCAAGTGCATTCATTCATTCTCTCTCTCTCTCTCTCTCTCTCTCTCTCTCGCTCGCTCTCTCTCTCTCTCTCTCTCTCTCTCTCTCTCTCTCGCTCGCTCGCTCTCTCTCTCTCGCTCTCTCTCTCTCTCGCTCTCTCTCTCTCTCTGTGGTGACAGGTAATTGTATATAAATGGTATACTGTATCGCTGAAGCTTGCTGAAAATTTTGGAAATATAATAATAACAAGGGAAAAAAACATTTTAGAGAGAGTTAACAGACGAGACCTGATAACAGAACTTGCATTATAAAGTGCAAAATCATGTGTGTGAATACGTGTATGTGTGTATGTATGTGCATGTGTGTGTGTGTGTGTGTGTGTGTGTGTGTGTGTGTGTATGTGTATATATATAATATAATAATAATAATTTAGTGTTTATTTTGTATATTTTTGTGTATATTTGCTATAAATGGTTTTATATGATGAGGTTCAAGGTTTTTGTTGTATAAATCAGTTGCCCAATTTCAGATCACTATTTTGCAGTCTGTCGTGTATATAATTACAGCTCAGTGGAATCAAGACGTTTGAAATGTTTTGATTCCTCTGATCTCTAATTACATAAAACATAAAAAATCGAGTCAGATTCAGAAATTGAATCAAAGTGTATCGTTGCAACTTGTGTGATAGTTTGTCTCTCTTTCTCAGGGTTCACAAGACACTATGGGTGCTCAGGAGGGCCTTGTTCCACCACCCTTCTCCGCCTTCCCTCCCCCTCCCCCTCCGCCGCCCCAGAATGGCCTGCCGCTGGAGTTCGGGGCCAGCAGCCTGTACTCTGCAGGGGGACAGGGGCAAGTGGAGCCGACGGCAGGGATCAGTAACCCCCCCTCCGCCCCCAGCACTCTCAACACACAAGTAAGTGTTATCAAACACACTCTGAGCATATGGTGAAGTGGAGGGCCGTTTGCATAGCCGCCTCTTCACTCACTGACCATTTGGAGACTGATTGGCCTCTTTTCACCTGTTCATTTGTGTTAGAGCACAGGAAGTGTTCTGGGTGTGAGGAGAGTGAATGTAGACATTGTCCTTTTAGCACATCTGTCCTGTAAATGTTCCTATTACCATATCAGTTTCCTCATCTCCGTTTGCAACTTTTCCTTTCCGAAAAAATAAATGAAAATGATTGAAGGAAAACAAACGTAAACAGCATTTTTCGTACCGGAATGTAGTCGATCAGCCAAGACGTGTTTGAAGGTTTGCTTCTTTGGTTTTGTGCTGGATGTATGCGTAGAGGTGTCGGAACCAATCTAGGCAGATTTTGATCAATCAGGTATCGGCTATTTTAAGCCTGATCCAGTTATAATTTTTGTTTCTTCTTTTTTGCTTACTATTTATACCACTGTCAAAGAGGTGACATACACAGGCCTCATCCACAACCAACAGAAGTGAGGTGCGTTTTCAGAAGTTAACAAAGAAACCTCAGTGTGTGCTGTGTGGAACTGTTTTACAGTGGAATATAAAAGCTTATATCTGTACCTGGAGTGTTTCCACTAATTTGAGCTAGTCACGTTTCCTTTAAACCAGAGGTGCCTAAACTTACTGTCAATGTTTGTGGTGGGCTGAGTACAAAAAGGCAATATAGACATAAAGGATTGGTTGTGTAATTTTTTTTTTCAACAATAGGTCTTGTATATGTATTGTTAATATAGCACTTTTAAATGAAGATAATTTAATAAGTTAAATTGTAGGACTGTACAGTTAACTGTTTATATATTAAAATCACAATTCGAAAATGAAATTTTCAAACCTCAGGAGCTGCAGTTTTAATTCTACACTACATTATTCAGTGTTGTCTTACATTTTATTTGGGCAAATTTAACACAGTAACACATCATAAACTGGTAGTCTAACACACTACATTCAGTGTTTATCTTTTAAAAAAAAAGCTTAATTTAATAAAAATAAACCTATTTAAATCACAATATTAGTCGCAAAAATCGTCAAACCATTCAGCCCTTATACACTATAAAGGGTGAAAATGTTTGGTCTCTCATTGGGTGAGAGGGTAGGGTTAGGTTACCTTTCTGGCAGTCAACTCAAATTTTGGGCACTTTGGACAGCCCTGATCTAAACACTGTCTTGTAAAATGAGAGCGAGCACTACTTTCTGCCCCTTAAAGTGAGCGACATGCTACCAGAAGCATATACATTCCAGCCACGTCACTTGCGAGTGGCTGAAAACGAATCAGTTGCAGAGAGGTTGTATTTTGTGCTCCACACAGCCTTTGGTTTGAAATAATTGTTCAACAGTGTGTTAAAAGCAGATATGAAGGAAGCTGCTGTGCGTATGTTGGAGCAATATGAAGTCATATTGTATTCATGACAGTATAAATTGGTTATTTCACGTAAGTATGAAGCTGTTTCACTGCAGAATACTAATTGGCAACCAAATGGTCTGGGAGATTAATCACGTGATGATAAACTAACATTAAACACACATTATAATGGTAATTTTAAATAATTAGGCCTAAAACAAAACAGGATGTCACATTATGTACATGCTAGGAATGTGGAAATGTTGCTATAGTATTAATTATCAGCTTAGCACGTCTTGCCTTAATTAGCTCTGGAAACTCAAACACCACCTTGGATCAGTATCAAGTGATACTCAGCATTAAATTACTTTGATTTGGCTGAAAATCTGTTAGGACACCCCTAGATATGAGGCTAATGTAGCTAAGCTTATTTAGCACCGAACTGCATGCCTAAATCTGCCTCAGGCTAGTTGTAAAGTAATCTCAAATAGACTTGCCTGTGTGATTCCCAATACTGTATGACACTGTTTTCTATAAAAATGGACAGTATGGACAAAGTATGAGCAAAATCAGGTTTCAGTATGGATACTAATGCAGTCTTTAGTTATGTGCTGCATTTTTATATGAAAAAAGGCTGGACTGTTCCTTCAGGAATCCATAATAACGTTATGTATGCGAACAAAAGATCTAAATATGGTTGTCCTCTCTCCTCTCTCCTCCCCCCGCAGCAGTTGTCAGATGGATCCCCCCAGGCAGATAACCAGTGTGTATCTGGTGGGGGTTCAGGCGTATCTGGGGCTGAAGACTCTGCAGAGGGCAAAGTCACCCCGAAACGCCTCCACGTCTCTAACATCCCCTTCCGCTTCAGAGATCCTGACCTGCGGCAAATGTTTGGGGTACGAGCTTCTTGCTAACTGAGCGCTTTGTGTGTTTTCTGGGGGACGTTTTAAGGTGCAGTCAGCAGAAACTGAAATGACAAAGACAGATTAGGAGAGTAGGGTTAATGGGGGGAGCACTGAACAATTCTGCCCCCTAGTGGTGGTGAGTACTTTTGATTTGAATTGGCACTGCAGCATGAACAGAGTGGGACACTGTTTGTGCTCTAGGGCTGCACAATATATCGTTTGTTAATAATTAGTGAGTATTGGCCTTTGCTCTAGTGATACACGTAAGCACTTTGTTTCACTGATGCTTCACTGGTGTGTTTTTCATATATTGTATCAAGCACAATATAATTGCAATTTTGTCCCATGTTTTGCAGCCCTTATTCATACATAAGTGAAAGCATTGTTCATGCTTAACTGTTGCTTTGTTTAGCATTAGACCTTAGACCTTATCCAATTCTTCTATGGAATAAATTATTGCCCTTTTTCTTGTTTAAGCTTTCTAATCTGTATTTTCTTTTATTATTTCCTGCAGCAATTTGGAAAAATCCTGGACGTAGAGATCATTTTCAACGAGAGAGGCTCCAAGGTACGAGACCCACGCAGTGGTTTGTAGCAAAGCCTGAGAACGTTATGTAAAAATGTAAAACTGAGTTTAAAATTCCAGCTTTGTCTCTTAGGTCGTATGCAGGCCATGCGCTGCTACATCTGAAACTGAGCCCCCACTCCCACTCCCACACACTTTACAGACATTTAGCTCAACAAAAAGTATGCTTCTCTCACCGTCTCTGCAGTTATCTCTTCACTCTGCTCCCTTTTTTTGGTATTGTGATACAAATGACTAAACATCCCATTGACTTCCATTCATTCTGCTTGGGAGAGTGGCTTCCATACTGTCTTCATGCTGCATGCTGGCAGGAGAAATGGAATGATTCGATTAATTCAGCTGTCCTGGAGTTAGGGGAATGAGAAGTATTGACTTTCTAGCTTCCTGAATGATTCCTTTAGCTAAACGGAGCGACAAAATGTAGTAGACCGTCTGCAGGCTGGTTATGTTGTAGGAAGCAGCCGCTGGCTGGCAGACAGAGCCATTGAAATGAGAGAGTGTCTACGTATTGAATCGACTGAGCAAGAGGTAGATGGTGTATGTTTTCAAACGAAAGGGACTTACCCACAGGACCAATAAAACAACTTTAAAAAAAAAATAAAAATAAATAAATATTTAGAAAATATATACAGATATAGGCGTAGTTGCTGGCCAAATTACATATCTCATCAAGTAAGATGAAATAGGCCTAAACCTAAGTAATACTTTTCTGCAAATGTTAATGCAGAGTTCCTTTATATTTGATTGAAATGATTGAACATAAATGAGTAATTGTGGCTTGTTCAAAACTTTGGATTTGGTAAAGTTACAGAAAATAATCAGAGAAGTCAACATCTGATGTATGTAACACATCTAGATAAAACGAAGACATTTAGGAAACACTGTGGACCGATGAACTAAAAGTGGAACTTTTTGGCCACAACTACCAATACTATGTTCAGAGGGAAAAAAAGGAGCAGCATCTGATGAAAAGAACACCTTTCTGTATTTATTTCTGTATGAGCAGGCTAGGAGTATAAGACATAGAGCTGTCAATCAAGCTGTTCTTTAGCCACGCCCACTCAGTTCTCAGATAGGTCTGATGAGCTGTTTTTAAGCCGTGTTTTATGTGTAGCCTCTACTGTTCATTCAAGCTTTGCTGGATGTTTAGTATAGCACCCAAGTTTAGGGTCATACAAAAATGTTTAATGTTTTGCTCTGTTCTCTGGGGCTTTAAGCATGGGAATGAATCTGTTGTGCAGTGGTATTGTGTGGCAACCGTGCTGCATGAAAGGATTTTCAAGCTGTCAAATATACATATATATATCCTGACATGGTAAAATAAGTACATATATGTGTGAAAGACATTTTGCATAATCAGTCTAACCAAGACTTGGGAGAGTAGGAGTGTGTCTGTGTGTGTGCCTGAAATGCTGTACAGAGAGAGTGTTTTAAAGATTAGCTCATTCTAATTACTGCCAAAGCATCCTGGGCTGTCATTCACCTCACAGCCCTTCAGTCCTGCAGAATGAGTTCCTGTATTTGGATCTGTGTAGGCTTTATACGTACACAATATCCAACTATTAACTAAAAAGCACTTACTGTCAGAATTAAATCATCCATTCAGAAGAGCATCCACAGCGGTTCTTTAAAGATAAGCCTTGCTATTGTCTGCTGGTAGGAAGAGGCTGTGCAGAGTCCTCAGTGACGGTTAGCCTAGCTGTTTGGTGTGGTGTTTTAAAGGGGAGTGCCACCATTTTTTTTGCAAAATATTTATCTGTTTAAGTTGGTAAAGTCATTTTGAGTGATTTGATGTGAAACGCTTTATTTGGAAGAAAAGTCAGAATTGTTAAGTGTGGTGGTGAGGGGAACCAGTTGTCTGAACTGAATGTCTTTAAAAGCTCCCTCACAAAGTTATTACATGAAATTACGAATGCATTGCCTGATGCCTGAAACATTGTTTTAAGATAGTTTTGAGAGGGTTTTGGCCTAAAACATATTTTTAAACTCCGGTCATGGCGGAGAGGTACGTGCAGGGTGTTCTAGGACAAAATAGTACCCAAAGAAAAGTTATTTTTTCAGGTTTACCACTATTTTACCATCATCAACATGGGTCCTGTCCCCACCACTGTAAAGAACTCCAAGTCAGTATATCTTCGCAGTTACCATTTCACATCACACCACTCTAAATGACTTTGTTTCCATCTCAGCCATTGAATCATGCTGAAATTTTGAAAAAGCAGTGGGATTCCCCTGCAGAGCTCCACGTACCTTCTTACATTAACAGCAGCGTATGCTGCCTGAATGTTGAAATGTCCTGAAATGATGTTCAACTGCCAAGCAAGGTCTAAATCTACATACCTTAAACACACATACATATTCACCCACATGGCTTTAATAAAGGGCTAAATGAAGGCTTATTAAATGTCATTTGTCTTTTTGTGGGATTTTGTACATTTTAGAATCTGTAGATTCTCTGCCGGTGATGTTTAATGATATTTCTCATATAGTGAGTGAGTTTACAAATGCTTATTTTCTGTTGCCATGGGGATGCATGCCAGCGCTTCACAAACTGTCAAGGCGTGGGGCTTAGAATTACATAAATTGAACTAAATAAATATATTAATTAAATGTCAGGTAAATAATGCTTTTAAAAGAGATTGCACAACAGCTGGACAGAGCCTGTAGATTTTTGGAATCTATATCTATACGATGGAGGAGAACAACTGATATAAATTAAGAGATAGAGATGGCAGGACTCCATTTTCTGACTGATATTGAAACTTAGAGTATCAACCAAAACTGAGCGCATATATATATATATATATATATACGTGTGTGTGTGTACTGGAACACACTTAACCTCACAGGAAGAACAACACAGCTAGCATCACACAATTTACGAAACATAGAAATTTGGACTAAACCTTCTTGGAACTAAAGCATTACAGAGAAATATAATATTTACTTCTATATACAAATGCAAATTTCCTGAAGTAAATACGATGCTTGCAGGGCAAAAATAAATTCTCAAAAATTTTATATTTCTAAGCAATGAGTCACAGAATTCAAATGTAGTAAAACAGAAACAAAGAAAACAAGGAAAGAAAAAGAAAAAGAAGGGGGATTAAGAAGGAAGATGAGAAAGAAGAGAAGAGATACAAAGAGGAGGAAGAAGAAGAAAAAAGAAACGAAGACAGTTGGAAAATAGAATGTAAGAAAATGAGAAAGAAAAACAGTTAAAGAAAGAGAATGAAGATAAATGAAAGGACGGAAGGAAGATGAGAAAAGAGGAAAAGAAGAAGAAAAGAGACACAAAGAATAAGGAAGGAAGACAAAAGAAGGAATGATGGGGGGGAAAAAAGGAAGAAACAGACAATAGGAAAAATGAATGAGAAAATGAGTGAAAATGAATGAAAGGAAGAGAGAAGAAAAAGAATAAAGATAAGAGAAAGAAAAAGGAAGTAAGGAAGAAAAGAAGCAAGAGATAAAAAAAACGGAGGAAAAAATAGAGAAAAGGATGGAAGAAATGAACAAGAAAGAAAAAGAATGAACATAAATGAAAAAAGGAGGAAAGAAAGAAAATGAAAGTAATTTAAAAAAAAGAAAGAAAAGGTGAGCAAATAGAGATGAGTAAAATCAGCCTATCAATGACTTCAGACAGCTTCAAAAAAGTTAAGTAAGTATAGACTAACATGGAGGCTCTAAGCATCCGTCTGACGCCGATGCGCCTCGATATCTCGGTGTATCTGTACTGAAGACTGTTAAAGTTCTCTCCTCCGTCAGATTATTTCAGGTTCCAAAAATCTCTCATCGCTCAGTCTGTCTGTTCTGGCTGTTCTCTTGTTTTGGACGCGCTGTGGTGCCGGGCGGTTTTGGCCGCGGTGTTCTGGTCCCTCTGTGTCTGATCGTTGATGTCACTGTCGGCCCCCAGGGCTTCGGCTTCGTGACGTTCGAGAGCAGCGTGGATGCGGAGAAGGCCCGAGAGAGGCTGCACGGCACCATCGTGGAGGGCCGGAAGATCGAGGTGAGTTTTTCTCTCTCTCTCTCTTTCTCTCTCTCTCTTCTCTCTTTGGTGATGTCCTCACATCTTTCACGTTGGTGACTGACTGAGTGCTGCTACGAGAATGTGCCTGTGCTGCTTGTGCTTCTCCGCTCCAGCCGTGTGCATGTGTGTACGTGTGTGTACGCGTGTGCGCTTCAGTGTGGATGAGGGATGAAGCATGTGTGGAGCGTGTTTGGCATGTTATCTTCAATCAAAAACAAACTGCATGGCCGAATGTGGATATAAATAGATTTTCTGTTTATTAACGTTCACAGTGGCGTAACTACTGAGGGGTGGGCCTTTGCTCTGGGGCCCATATCAATACTGATACAATCAAACATCCATGACTCACAGAAAGTTCCAGTTTTAGACCACAAAAATCAAAGGCCACCCTTTATTTATTTCATTGTTGGTTAAAACAGCTGTTATTTTTCGCAGTATTTAGTGTTTTGATTAGAGCTTCAGTTTCTCAGTGAATTCTGCAGGGATATTTTTCAACATCCACACAGTTCAGTCTTAGATGTTTGTTGCATTTTCTCATTCTCATGATCCAAGTAATCCAAAAATTATTCAGCAAAGTTGAAGTTTGGCCTCCGAGATGGTTTGTTTGTTTGTTTGTTTGTTTATTTATTTACTCACCGACTTACCTGTGGTAAAATCACTGTAATGCACAACCTCAACTGATACATTGCTTTTCTAAATCAACAAAAACATAAAATATGGCACAGTACACAGTTTAGTAAATTATTTACATTATAAGTCATGATAATCACAATAAGCAGTTCTTCCACCAGGAAATGTAGTTAATTTAGAAAATATTGATGTCAAGCAACCATGCACTGTTGAAGGAGAACAAAAACTTGGTCATATTGTAGTTTCTCGAACTTTTTTGTTTGTTGTCATAAAATAATGAAAATATCATACTATAATATATTAATCCTTCACCTCATAAGTTGTTCCTGCTCACCAAATTCCCACCACATCGATAATGCTCATTCCCACTATCACCTGTATGCGATTTTCTGTGTTGTGTTAGCATTAAGCTAACAGCACCACATGTTCCACTTTCTCTTACTTTAAGTCGTTTTAAACCCAGTATTTCTAACAAGAAACACAGACGTTTGAGGCTTGTAAGACATTCAAGATAGCACATTCTTATTACAGTTTTGCAGCAAATAATATAAACAATAAATAATAAAACTCCGAGGCTAACATTAATGGAAGGGTGAGTTAGCCTGTTAGATGTATTTTAGCCTGTTTGGCCTGCTGTCTTTTAGCCTAGTTGCTAAAAAATGTCCCTCAGTTTAAACAAAACCATGTTCTTACTTTGTCAGTACTTGGTGGGCCATGAGAGCAGCATAACAGTCCGTTTACAGCACACAAGCTAGACTTAATGCAGAATTAATTCGGTCAGTGTGCGTGTATTGAGCTTTTTACTTTGAACAAGGCTGAGCCAATCAGATTTTAGGACCAGAACTATCCTTTTAATAAATTTAGGTTACCATTATATATGCTAGCGAGTAAACATTTGTCTTTTTTTTTATTATTATTAATTTAATTAATGTTAATCGAAGGTCATTTTCTTGTGGGTGGAGGACGTCATTCATTTGCACTGAGACCCATAACATCCTAGTTACGCCACTGAACGTACATGTTTTAGGGTATTGGTGCCTTTTCTTGGCTGCTGGGTTCGGTCCACTGCTGGAAGGCTGTAAAAATCTTAGTTATTAACGCATGCGTGGTTTTGCTTTTCTCCTCAAAGCACATTAGCATGCTAATGAAGCTGCTAGCCAATTACGTTCCTGGATTTGACCTGTTCCTTGCTGTTCTTCTTGCGGCACGGCGTTGCTTATTGATCTTCAAATACTAGTTGTGTCTGTTTTTGTTTGTTTGTTTGTATATGAATGTCAACTAGATTGAATTACATAGAATGTAGTCAGTGTATCTGTCTGTTCTATGTTTTGTTTTGTTTTTTTCTTTTAAACTAGCGCAATATGCCACAGAGTTCATTAGCACATGAATGTACATTGTCTCTTGGAAAACGTCTTCACTGTTGCTGGCAGTGCTGTAATGCTGGTTGGTTGTTCATTTTGTGGAAGGGACAATCCACCAATTTTTCAAAACGTCAGCATAATTGCGACATTAAGTTATAAACAAAGTCTTTTCAAGTGGTTTGATGTCAAATGCATTTTTCACAGTGGTGGTGAACGGAACCAGACATCTTAGAGTTTAATACCTCACATAAACGGTTTTATGGTACTTTCGAGAGGGTTTTGGCCCGATTCATGTATTTGTAGGTAAAAATAAAATAATCCTCCTTTACAGTAAATTAAACTGATCATTCTAACACAGTTTTAGCAATACATGGTCTTAAACGCTGGAGTTGAAGTAGCCAATAACTGCTAATTCACCAGTTTTTAACCCTGAAGGGTGGTGTGCAGACTGGTGATCACTATAGCAATGCAGACAACAGTTTTTCCTAGCTAGTAGTTAATGAAAAGGCAGAGAGAGATATTTAAGATGAACATTGATAATTTGGAGACGAATGAACTTACACTTATCACTTCAGATCATTTCCTGACACGTTTAATCAGCAACAAGAAACCGACGAACACTAAAAAGTCACGGAGCTGAGGTTCTCGCGAAGCTTCTTGTCCGAATTTTTCCGTTCCTCCTTAAATTGTGCAGCAGTTACATTCTGGCGCCTCAGGCACCATTTAAGGTCGAACAGAAAATCAAAGCTGGCGACTTAAAAAATTGAACGTTGAGAGACATTTTACAAGAAACTGTTCTACGTTTGCGGAAAAGTTTCCTGCTGGAGATGCGAGAAAAGCGGCTATAGCTGAGCTAAAGCTTAAAGCAGGTCAGAGTAAGTCTGCATTTTAGTGCATGTTTTTTTAGCCTGTATCAGTACATCAGCACATACTGAGCCATATTCACAGCCAGCATGGTAAAATGGACTTCAAATGTTGTGGCCCTCAAGGTGTTTTGATTTTATTGAAAGGACAAAATGGCCCTTTGGTTTGCTGACCACTGGTATAGGTTCATTGATACTTGTAAATGTGTTATAGACGTCACCACCCCTGGTTCCTTTCACCACCACGTTAAAGATATCCAAGTAAGTAAGTTTCTCTAGAATGAACCGTTTTGCATCAAAACTTCACGAATGACTCGGTTTGTCTTAATGTGAGAATTATGCAGCGATTTTGAAAAATCTGTGGACTTCCCCTTTAATGCTTGTTTGAGTTTGACTCTTCTTTTGTGGAGTTTTTAGAGGGTAGCCCCCTTTTTTTGCTTGAACTGTGTGTACGTGTGATCCTTTCTCCATCTTAGTGACCTGTAAACGCATGGAGGGTGTGCGTGTGCGTGAAAGTAGATCCTTTCCTCTCCTCTCCATAGACTTTTGGGTTGTTTCACGTGAGACGTTTAGCACTTAGGAGTGATCGGCCTTGTTTTTTTTGTTTCCTTTCAAGCTCACTGAATACTTTTTTTTTCCAGAATGCTCTCTGCATGGTGTATTCCAGAGGCTGTGCTGTAGTTGTGTGTCTGTGTGGAGCACTGGGAGAGGGTGAGGAATGTAGTCGTGCCTTTAGTTCAGCGGCTGAGTCTGAATTCTTTTTATTTTGTCTGTTCTTTTAAGAGAAGGTGAAGATGTTGTCATAAGTGCATGATGCCTGGAGAAATCTCTCTAGCTCCCCCTACTGTCCGTGGCTGCTTGTGTTGGCTGTAGCTGGCATGGGTCTCAGACACTCTCTCCTTTTTTTTACCCGTCCTCCTTACTGGAGCGTCTCCACGGCTCGTGGCGGGGGAGGCAGTGCTCATGTTAGAGCTGTGTGTGTTTTTTGTTTTTTTTTCTTTTATTTTATGCATGACTTTATCTTTCCTTTTTTCCTTTTAGCTCCAGTAGAAACCATTAGGGCACAATTGAATTTCCTGTTCAATAAATTCCAGACCATGTCCAGTCTAGTCCAGTCCAGTCCGTAAAACAGCAGATCAGCTTTTGTGTTAGACTGCAGGTTCTTATTGATTCATTTCAGTACAGCTGCATTTCCTCTGTTTGCTTTATTATTGAACACAGTGATGCATTTTGTGCTGTTTTCATGGTTTTTCATCTGTTTTATTTACTGTGTGGAGAGTTAGAGAGAAATAGATGATTAGATGGCCACACTCTTCTCATCTGCCCTCTCCTTCTCTCTGTCTGACCTTTCTCACTGACCACTTCTTTCTCTTTCTTTTTCTCTTTCTTCCTCACTTGATCGCTTTATCTTTCTTTCATTTATTTATTACTTGCCCTCTTTTTTCTGTTCCTTTTATTCCTAGCTTTCTTTTTTGTTCTTGTTCATTTTCTTTTTTCTTTTTCATATTTTTTTCTTTCATATTGTTTTTTTTTCTTACTTTTTCTTTTCGTTTTCTTTTCTTTTTCATATTGTTTTTTTCATGTTGTTTCTTTTTCTTTTTCATATTGTTTTTTCTTTATTACTATTTGCTTGCTTTATTTTCTTTTTTCCTTCTTTGTTTTTTCTTTCCGTTGTTCTTTTTTCTCAGTGTCTCGTTTGCTTTGTTTCTTGCTTCGGTTCTTTTTTTTTTCCTTCCTTTTGCTTTTTTGCTCACCTGCTTGCACATTCTTTTTCTTTCTTTCTGTTTCTTTCTTTTTTCTTCTGCTTGCTTTTTCTATATTTTTTGCTTGCTTTTATTTCTTTTTGCCTGTCTTTGTTTTTTCTTTCATTTGTTTTTTTAAATATCTCAATTGCTTTGTTTCTTGCTCCTCAGTTCTCTCTCCTTCTTTCTGTTTTTGTTTTTTTCTTACTTGCATGCACTTTTTCTTTTTCTTTCTTTATCACTTTTGCATTCCTTCATGCTTGCCTCTCTTTTTGTGTTGTTTTTCTGTCTGTTTTGTTTTTTCTTACTTTTTCTTTCATTTTTATTTTCTCTCTCTCTCTCTCTCTCTCTCTCTCTCTCTCTCTCTCTCTCTCTCTCCCCCT